TTTTTTTTTTAAAGAAGTCTCTTATGCTCACCAAGGCTGCATCTGTCTGATCAAAAATGCAGTAAAAACAGTAATTTTTAAAAATATTATTGCAATGTTTTCTATTTTCTATTCAAATGTCATTTATTCCTGTGACGGCAAAGCTGAATTTTCAGCATCATTACTCCAGTCTTCAGTGTCACATGATCCTTCAGAAATCATTCTGATAGGCTGCTAAATAAACATTTTTTATTATCAATGTTGAAAACAGTTACTGCTTAATATCTTGTGGAAACGGTAATACATTTTTTCAGGATTTTTTTGATGAATATAACATTCAAATCAACAGCATTTATTTGTAAGTCTTTACTGTAATTTTGGTCAAATCAATGTGTCCATGCTAAATAAAAGTACTAATTTCTTTCCAAAAATACATAATGTAAAAAGTAGAAAATACTTGCCACGAACTTTTAATCAAGGTGTACAGTACATTTAAAACGACCATACCTGTACAACTCTCGAATGTGAAGGTTCCCCTGTTGTGTGCCCACGATGAGGTAGTCAGGCACCAGATGCAAAGCTGAAATCTTCTCGTCCAACGTCTCAGATGCTAAGAGAGTGCCATTCACAGAATACACATGCAGTGCGTACTTCTCCTACAGCCACAAAACCATGTGTTAATTTCCATTCTCACAATAACTCAAAAAGACTTGTTTCTTTTGACAAACATTGTCAATCAGCACCTTTCCAGCAGAGCGGCCCTCCATAACAGTCTGTGCCCCTATGTGCCCTTCTATGCCGACCTCCAGCTGTGCCACAGGGGCAGGAAGGCAGCTCTCACACGGCGGTCTCAGGGTAAGCAGGTACTGTCCACGACGCACACTGTGCATGATCACTGTGCCATCCTGAGCAAAAGAAAAAGAGAGCATGTGAGAGAAAACTCATGAACCCTAACGGCAATGCAGTAACTTCTGAAGGGACTTTTAAGAAGTGGTCTCATCTAAACTGACCTTTGACCCTGAGATTGCCATGTCCAACTCAGTGCTGATGGCGACACACGTGACCTCTTGATCATGTCCACAGAGCACCTGCACAGGCCGTGGAGACAGACCGCTAGAGAAACCACCCTACAGGTAAAAAAAAAAAAAAAGACAATATACTCTGCTTCAGTCACTAGTTATACTACATAACCATGCTGACTATTTTTTCTCTAATTCAGGTAAATAACGCTACAAGTTATTATTCAAGTAAATAAAAAACACAATTCACAAAACACTTAACACATAAAAGCACATAATTCAAGAAAACATCCTGATATTACACACTAAATATAAAATATATATTTGCCCACATTAAGGTCTAAAGCACAAATTTGATATTTTGACACATCAGATCTCTTTTCCTGGCTATTTACACTACCATTCAAAATGCTGGGGTCTGTGCAATATTTTTTTTTAATTATTTTTTTAAAAGTCTCTGATGCTCAACAAGGCTGTATGGATTTGATAAAAAATACAGTAAAAACAGCACTCTTGTGAAATATTACTACAATTTAAAATAACCTTTCTATTTCTGTTTTCTACAACTTTCTATGTTTTAAATATTTAAAAATGCCATTTATTCCTGTGATGGCAAAGCTGACTTTTCAACAGCCATTACTCCAGCCTTCAGTGTCACATGATCCTCCAGAAAGCATTCTAATATGCTGATTTGCTGCTTTACTGTCACTTTTGATCAATGTAATGTGTCGTTGCTTAATAAAAGTATTAACATCTTAAAAAAAATCTTACTGACCCCAAATTTTGAATGATAGTAGTGTACGTTCAGTTAAAATTAAATGACTGCTCATGGGCGCAGATGTACCCTTCACACCCTTTTATTTTTGTATTAACTTGGTATCTAATTATAAGTATTTTATGTGAGCAAACCTGCTGTAGGACCTGCCACACCATGCAGGTGGTGTCTCGTGAGCCAGAGATGAGGTAGATACCACAGAGATCCAGAGCCAGGCACGTGACCACATCTACATCCCACAAAAATGCATCATAACATTTATTCATAATCAAATGCATTATATAATCAGCAATGTGCACCATACCTTTTCTGAAAATCTGAAATCAATAGGGAGCTATTAATTGTTAACACTATAAAGCCTACTGTATCATATTTGATACACACATTTCTAAGGCCTTGACATTATCAACATGGACAAAGCTTTGCTAAAAACCTGGTGCACACAATCTACTACATGCCTTCTGCACTTTATACTTTTTAGCAAGTAAAAGGCCTTTTAGTATAATTAAAAAAATGTCCACCTTCAGGTCATGATTCACGTTTTCTTTTCTTCTTCCCCATAACTTTACATTGTTAGTAACTGGACTGATCAAACTTAGGTTTACTTGATTATCCATCCATCATTTTATTTTTTATTTTTTTTAGAAAATCATGTTAAAATGTGAATATCAAATATGATCCATCAGGATTTTGAGGAATGTTTATTTGTACATCTCTCAATCATCATGGTATTGTAATTGCTTTTTATCCCCCACAATAAAAACTACAGAGCTTTGATCATAAAACGAAGCATTTAAAGATCATCTTAAGACATATTATTGGGAGATATAGAGTGACAACTGATTTTAAATGCATTTATGTAAGTAGCCTGCTATACTATTTATAAAAACCTTATTGATTTATATTACAAGCTATCAGAATTTCATCTTATATTTTTGGCCATATAATTATCAGCAACTACACCCTATTGCATATTTTTGCTCAGTTTGGGACTCATATTATATGAGCCATAAATGCCTGATGTATCAAATATTACAATCATCAAAAACACAAGCAAACTGTTTTTTTGTGTGTACATTTTGTCCCATTTCAGGCTTTACAGGGCTAATGCTTCTGTTTCAGCAACAAATGATTCAACAAACATATCTGCCAAATCTGACAGCAGCTCATTTTATTTAGGATTCAGCTCAACAACTCCATCAAGCTCATTCCAACGCCTACTGCTTGGCTCTGTATTATTTCAGTACGTCTGCGTCGGGCAGACGGCTCTCACCTATGTGACGGCAGATCCTGCCCACCAGCTTGGCCTTGCCTAACATAGTGACCCGAATGCTGCAGTCCCAGTGCCCCCCGCTGAACAGCAGACGCCCGTCAGTGGACACCACCAGCACCTGGGACCCGATTTCCACCCCTGGGGAGAACGGCCCGCTGAGGAACCGCTGGGTCCTAAAAACAGATCAGACAAAAGGTTAGTACCAACAAATGGGACTAAACTTGTCAGTGGGAGAGCATTCGAAATAGATCAATGTTCTGTTTAAGCATCAGATTCAACACATGTTAGCAGACCACTCAAAAATAACAAGAAAGGCTTGGCAAAACAAATGAGCTTTTACAACAAAGGACTCAATTGGACTGAAGAACATTTATAGAGACCAAAGAAGCCAAACCACCAGAGCTTAATGTCAAAGAGCTGCTGTTTATAAGCTGCGTTTGATTATTTATCCAAAGACCAATGTTGTCACTATAAAAATAAGGCTTTCTGCCTAATCAAAACCTCTCGTCTTTAAAACTATATGACTTCACGAAGTCTCCGAACATGATTATATAATGTGTTTAGACATGTGTACATGTTCAAACTTACTTTGGGTTGCTCACAGAGGGGTCTCTGGTGAAGGTGAAATAATTAGCTATGTTCTTGTCGTAGGGCAGCCAGCTATGAGTGCCTATCATTCCATTAGCACTCACTGTCACCTGAAACAGGACAAATGCCATTCAAAACACATTCGGATGCAGCTATCTGTTCTGCAACAAATGTATTGATGTCAGGAAGTCTTAAATATGATCTGTGAAAGGCCCACTTCCTAAAATATATGCAGAGTGAAAACAATATTGAGTGAGAACAGACAAAATGTTGTTGCCAATTTTTTTTTATAATATTTAAATAAAACAATTTTAGAGTTCTTATATTGGCACTGTACTAAAGTCAAAGCAAATCATTATAATATTATCTGGATTTTTTTTTTTGTGTTAAAGGGATAGTTCACTCAAAGATGAAAATATGACCCGTATGAATTTATTTCTTCTCCTGAAAACAAAAGATATTTTGAAGAATGTGAGTAACAAAACAGTTGATGGGCCCCGCTGATTTCCATAGTACTTTTTTTCCATACCATACAGATTTGGAACAACTTCGGAACAAGGGAGAGTAAAAGATGACAGGATTTTCATTTTTGGGTGAACTATCCCTATAAGTCAACTATTACAGTAATCTTTCATGTATAAACCTTGAGAGTAACATGTTAATTCATATGCATTTGTACAATGCTTTCCCAATAAATATCATTCTAAAGCAATTTTACAGAGATTGTTCATCCGAAGTAAACCGCTAAAACATCTCCATAGAAACAACAAAAATACAGATTTTTCAAAATAAAAAAGATTTTTTTTAATTTCTTCTTTTAAAACAGTTTGTTATTGCAAAAAACTATCTTATTACTCCCGAAAGAAGAATGAAAAAAAAATGTATTGCATTATTTTAAAATAATAAAAAACAGCATATAAAATAATAGCCACAAAATCTTTTTTTCCCCCCTCTCAAATTTTCCACAAACCCTCTAGCAAAGTGACTTCAACCTTTTTTTTTTTTTTAACTCCAAGGCCTCCCCACGGTCCACAACAAGCTTCAAAGGCCAGATTTACAGCATAAGGATGTTTCAAATATTTTTTACTCAACATTTCTACCCCATAAAATATTTGAGAGATTGACATAAAAAGAAAAATGCATATTCATTACAAAAATGCTTGTTTTGTCTTATTTTACATAATTTTAAGTCATCTTAGAGCTCTCTTGCAAGTTTGCTGAGGCCCCCTAGTGGCCCCTGGCCCCATGGTTGAGAACCACTGCACTAACACCCTCTTCCACAGACCCTCTTGATCCTCAAACTCCTGCTCTATGTGATTGGTTCTGATCCTATTCAAAAATTAGTACAAAACAAGTGAACATAACCACAAAATAATCTTACCAGTATGTCAGAACCAGGGATGATGAAGGAGCGGGTTTGATTTCTGGGCACCACGGCTTGCACTAACGGCAGACCATCGCTCACCACCTACATGAACCAACATCAAAAATAATCACAACACAAATCACAGTTTCACACAGCAACTCTATAAACCAAATCATTAGCACACAGTGCTCAAAAAGTTGTATTTCGGCATATTATTCAGCTCAAATAATATACTGATAAATTCAGGCTCACCTCCTTAAAAGATCGGAGTTTACTGAGCTGATCAAAAAGGTTGGGGGGCAGAATGTCCAGACGGGCATTCCGCCTGAATGCATTCTCTGCTGACATACGGGGAGGATGGGGCTCCTGAATTACACACAGAGGTTTCACTTGTGCCATATTACACATATTACACAAATGCCTTCAGACCCAGGGTTTTTATCATTAACTAAAACTATAAATATGAAAAACATTTCTGCTTTTTGAAATAAAATAAACATTAGATGAAAAACTTGCAACTGATGGCAAATAAATGAAGTAAGTTCAAGCACTAGTATTAAAAAAAAAAAAAAAAGAAAACCTGGAAGCTCATATAAAATGAAGCTTATGCTGACTAGAGATGGAAACATCTGTCTGATGTCCCACCTTGAGAAGCTGACAGGGCGTCTGGCCAAAGTTGCTGATGATGCCTTCCAGGGCCTTGCGCTCGGTCTCATTAGCTATGGCGTCCAGATCCACTGCACCTGACAGCCAAAACACACAGCGATCAGTCATATTTTCCATGCAGGAACATGTTTAAACCAATACGAACTCATAAGAGGTCTCTTACCCTCATAAGTGCAGTAGTAGAAGACATTGAGAGCCTCCACCGCTTCAGGTCCTCGCTGCTTATACCCGAATATGAGATCGATCCACTCGTGCAGGTGAGCAGACACATGCTCACTCTCCTTTAAACACACAGATACACAAGGAGAGTGTGTCAGATAAAGAACAAAAGAGTGTGTGTTTTAAAAGCATTTTTTATATTGCCATTGCTAATTTGCAGTCTGAGTTGAATGTGATGACATTCATATTACAAAAGTATACTATAATAATTTTAGAATAGTTTTGTTTGCTGGTTGCATCCAAAAACATAGCACAAATGTTGTCTGATTCACAAGCAAATGATTTCTATGAGCTGATTCTTTTAAAGGAATAGTTCACTCAAAAATGATCTTAAAGGGGTCATATGATGCTGCTAAAAAGAACATTATTTTGTGTATTTGGTGTAATGAAATGTGTTTATGCTGTTTAAAGTAAAAAAAACACATTATTTTCCACATACTGTACATTACTGTTTCTCCTCTATGCCCCGCCTTTTTGAAACGCGTCGATTTTTACAAAGCTCATCGGTCTGAAAAAGCGAGGTGTGCTGTGATTGGCCAGCTATCCAGTGCGTTGTGATTGGCTGAATACCTCAAGCGTGAGACGGAAATGTTACGCTCCTTACCATACTGTTGATGCCGTGTCCCGGCCGGGATTAAAATTAAATTAATCGTCCTCTTTTGGAAGACCAAACAAAGTAGTTTCGCTTTCACAACGAGCGTCTTCACGACATGGCTTTATGCCTTCTTTCTTTGCGTGAACATTTGGGTGGCGTTATGCAAATCTTCCCACATAGTGAGGTAGACATGTGGGGGCGTGTTAGAACGAGCCGTTTTAGGTAGGTGTGGCTGACTTTGAACTTTTATAAAGAATATCTCTTTGGATTTGAGACTTTAGTCTTTGCAACATTACAGATCGTCTTTATGCACCAAGAGCTTGTAACACTCCAAAAAGAAAGGAAAAATTTTAAATCGCATCACATGACCCCTTTAAAACAGCTGATAAAAACATAACAATAATCTACAAGTAACTACACAACTGCAGCCCATCAGTTAACATCGTGAAAAGCTGCATGATTGTATTCAATAAATTGATCAATAAGACATGTTTAACGTCAAACAGTTGTTTTTGGCTAAAATATGAGTCCTTTATCCATACTATTGCTTTATCAGGAGAGATATATATGCACAGATAAAACACCGTTTACAAGTGAAGAGAGTTGATTGATTTGTTTTCTTACAAACATGCAGCTATTCACTTCTTGGTGTTAACTGATGGACTTGAGTCATGTTGATTACTTGTGGATTATAATGTTGTTTTTATCAGCTGTTTGAACTCTCATTCTGACGGCACCCATTCACTGCATTTGTGAGCAAGTGATGTAATGCTAAATGTCTCCAAAACTTTCTGATGCAGAAATAAACTCATCTATCTCTTGAATGGCCTGAGGACGAGTACATTTTCAGAAAAATTTAAGCTGCATGATTGTATTCAATAAATTGATCAATAAGACATGTTTAACGTCAAACAGTTGTTTTTGGCTAAAATATGAGTCCTTTATCCATACTATTGCTTTATCAGGAGAGATATATATGCACAGATAAAACACCGTTTACAAGTGAAGAGAGTTGATTGATTTGTTTTCTTACAAACATGCAGCTATTCACTTCTTGGTGTTAACTGATGGACTTGAGTCATGTTGATTACTTGTGGATTATAATGTTGTTTTTATCAGCTGTTTGAACTCTCATTCTGACGGCACCCATTCACTGCATTGGTGAGCAAGTGATGTAATGCTAAATGTCTCCAAAACTTTCTGATGCAGAAATAAACTCATCTATCTCTTGAATGGCCTGAGGACGAGTACATTTTCAGAAAAATAAAATTTTTGGGTGAACTACTCCTTCCACAAATAACTCAAAAAGAAGTTTGAATCAAACTAACAAATCACTTGAATTTGCCGGAGCAGTTACTGAAACATCTGACTCACCCACTCGATTTATAAGATGGTTAGTAAATAGTATTTTAAGAGTATTCTGTATTTTACAAAACATATTTACAAAAAAAATGTGTTGTTGTGTTTAGTATCTATGTTTTGAAATCAGTGCATTGTATCTGTTTCCACACCAAAGCTTTGCGGTGTTTCCTGATGAAGTCTTCAGGCGAAGAGGCCCAAGGAGGAAGTAACACATCATTGACCTTCTCTTGACTTATTTGCAAGCAGCCCAGATCAAAACCTGCACACGACATATTACAATTCAAAATCCATTGAACAAATTGCCGGTGTGGTTTTCATCACTGAGAAGTTACAGAGAGACACACTGACCGTTCATGTTTTGCAGGAACTCTGGGAAGTAGAAGAACTCTGGGATGAGCTCCTTGACATCAGCTGGACTCTCCATCCGCGCCTGCCACGCTGCTGCTACTGAATGAAACTGTCTATCGGCACAGTCAAACCTAAACACACACACAATCACACTTATAAGTGCAGCCCAAACATAGGACAATGTACATGATTACTTAACCATCAGGAAAACAACACTGCAACCTAGTGGTTAATGCTAAGGGGTGCCAAATTAAAATATTATTCATATATTCACATTTTGACTGTGGCAATCCACGTTCCTGTATGGATACTTAGTGTTATATTTTTGGAGTATTAAAACCATTCAACTAACTTGAACTATCAGTTAGAAGGCATTTTATTTAATGACTTTATAAAGATTTTAGAGTCAAATTTCCATTTGTGCCTCAGGTACCCTTGGAATGAATAAACAAGCACACCTTTTGTGTACAAAAGTATCCAGAAGTACAAAAGAAACCCTAAAATACAAATGTGTCTGAAAGCAGGATTCAGCACACGCCCTTGAGCAGGGGTGTTCAATCCTGCTCTTGAAGGGTTAACATCCTGCAGAGTTTAGCTCTAACCTGCCCCAACACACATTCCTGTAAGTTTCTAGTAATCCTGAAGACCTTGAATAGCTGGTTCAGGTGTGTTTGAGTTAAAGGTGGCCCTCCAGGAGCAAGATTGGACACCCCTGGCTTTAGCTGTGGTGTGCGAGTATGCGTGTCTTACTTGCCGCTCTGGAGCTGTATATGTAATGAGGTGAAGGGCTCTGTGCGGATCATGTAGTGCATGACGCCGGCAGCATTAGAGTAGTGTGTGCCATAGTGGAACTTATCGATAGTGCCCGTTGGGTCCTCAAAACTCTCATACCTAATCAAACGACAACAAGAAGACATTTAGAAAATCAGATGAAATACTCAAAAGATTCTACATTACTCTGCTTTATATTATTATAGAACATTCTGTTATTATTTACAAATTTGAATATATTTATCAATATCATGTAGATATCGGCTTGTGGTATTGTTATCCATTTTTCTAGTTTTGTTACACATTCTTTGATACCGGGAATTCTGCAATTAGGACTGCAACACTGTCTCACTTTTCCCTGACGTTCTGTGCATGTCGAGGGTTGACGACGCCAATGGGTTTGGACAAATCTCTGAAAACAGCTGGGTCCTCCAGATCCAATTTAGCAGATGTGTAGTCACACAACACCCAGGGGAACTGAGAATACAGACATGCACATGAAGAAATGAGAACATATGTGACCCATACACTATTCACCAACACCAAAAGTGTCAGTCACGCACATTTGCATTTTTTTTTTCAGCAAAATGGATATTAAATGCATTCAATGAAATCTTGGTTTACTAAAATAAATATTACATTTTTTAAAATGAAATCAAAGACTGAAAAACTAAAATAAAAACTAAAATAAATTCAATAAAATAAAACAAATTCAAATTCTGGGTAGGCAATTCAATTACCAATTATTATAGACAGCCGCTTGATTTTATTCCTAAATGAATGAATTAAGCATTTTGAACCAATTGATTGAATAAAAGGATCCTTTATTAACACAATGACTTACAGCCACCTAGTGGCGATATTACTTTCATAATTCAAGTATTATTTAATTTTATTCATATTTCTATTAAAAATGTTGTATAAAACATTAATCTAATTTCATTATACATTTGTAAATGCACATACAGCCATCTTATCAGCATTAAACTGTAAATACATTTAAAAGCATCTTCAGACCCAGGTTCTATATCATTGAATACTGATTTGGTATGGATACTGAATTGGTAACAGCCTATTGTCATATTATTCTAATTTATTTAATGTAAGAATTTTACATTAAAAATGACATAAAAATGGTAAAAGGTAAAAAAATTAAATTAAATAAATAAAAGAATAAAAAACTGAAAATCAGTTGCCCCTTATGTGAAAGTTAACTTCTGATACTGCTGACACTGGCTTATTGTTCGAAGTGTTATTTCAGGGATTGGATCCTCCACTGCTGCAGTTGTACAGATTAATAACCCATTTTATCAATTTCATATTTTTCTCAACAAACAGACTAAATGAATAGCTCGTCTAATGACAGAGTATTAAGTTCCCTCGATGGGGGAAAAATCCAAGTGAACATCAATCAGTACTCAATATTAATTTAAACTGCTTTAAATATGACTGCAGCTTATTTCCTGTGCACTTCAATACTGGTCTGCGCTTGACTGTAGAATTTCGCAACATCGCAATGTCCTGCTCGGGCTTGCTAATTTAATGGCAGAGAATAGTGACTTTATTTTTTAGAATTCTCGTTTTTCGTTTTTAGGAAAAAAACTAAAAAGGAGCCGTTTTCTCATTTTTCTACTTTCAATATTAAATCAAAAAACGAATGATCGAATGATACACGGATTCCATAGCATCCCCACGACACTGCATATGACAAGCGCTTTTGAAAACAAAACTAAACAAAACACAAAACATGACAAACCAAACAAAAAACAAAACACAAAACACGACAAACCAAAACATGACAAACCAAACAAAAACAAAACATAAAACATGACAAACCAAACAAAAAAAAATTCAAAACAAAACCTAAACAACGCTAGCTCTGTAAGAACTCACCACTGGATACTGGGATAAATCATTGTATGTGCGACCAGCAATGGTGTTGAGCTGCATCAGATATTCAAAATTGGAGATTTCTCTGCAAACCCATCTCTGCAATAGGAACAAAAATGAATATAAAGAATAGTTATATCTGGGGGGGGGGTAGGGCTTTTTGACAGCTTTTATGGGCAGATACAGTATAGAAAGGCATAGGAAACTATGGGGAAAAAGGGAGGAAAGAGTCCAACCAGCCACCAGCAAAAATGGAAAATATTGGCATCGCATCACACATACGTGAGTCAGGTTGGAGGCTTTTAGGAGCTCCTGAGGAGAGCGAGAACCAAAGTAGAACAGATTGGGTGGTCTGAGACCCAGGATCCTGGAGTAGACTTTGTTCCGCACCTGTGGGAGAACCCAAACAAATATAAAAACTCAGAGACCTCAAATGCCACTGATGCTTGTGGCCATCTTTTCCATTGTAGCTTCTCCTGCAGTGCGACAGTTATTATGTGTCCAGCTCACCCCTTTCCTGAAGTTGATGAAGTAGTGTGCCTGGTCGATGAAGAACAGCTCTAGTGCTGATCTCCGCAGGTTGTAGCGCCTCAGGTGGACTTCCCTTAGCTGTGACAATGACCTCTTGAAATCAAAACCAATGCCTGCAAAGATGGGCAGTCCAGAGCATTCACATTATAATCATGAATCATTTCTTATCCTATACACTACCAGTCAAAAATCTGGAATAATTACGATTTTGTTAATGTTTTTAAAAGAAGTCACTTATGCTCACCAAGACTGCAATTATTTGATGGAAATATTGTAAAATATTATTACAATTTAAAAGAAAGTTTTCTATTTTACTATATTTCGAAATTTAATTTATTCCTGTTATGGCAAAACTGAATTTTTAGCAGCCATTAATCCAGTAGTTAGTGTCACATGATCCTGATATGAAGACGGCTGCAAAAAATTCAGCTTTGCTATCAACAGTAATAAATTATATTTCAAAATGCATAAAAATACAAATAGTTATTTTAAATTACACAATAATACTTTTTTATTTTTTTTATTTTACTATATTTGTGATTGAATAAATGCAGCCTTTGTGAGCATAAGAGACTTCTTTCATAAAACATAAAAAAATGTATATATATTATTTTCAAATTTTGACCGGTAGTGTACACGCATTCATTATGTGAACAATGAATGGAGTCTTATTAGAGAGACAAACAAAATGGGTTGGGCGCTATGACGGGATATACTTCGCAATACAAGCTGTTACTCACCTTCCTCGGTCTCCTCTTTCTCACTACTGCCATCGTAGAAGTACAGGTGGTGCGTTGTGACCTCCAGACGACCTGGTACCACGGCAACAATAGTGATGAGCTCACACTCCTCTGAGAGCACCAGCTTTTCTTTTTGGCTCTCCTCCTCACCCTCCTCCACCCTGAGGAATGACACACACACAGACACACACAGAAATACACCCGGCTGAACACACTCGATCACACTAAACCCAGCTCAAAAGCTGTACACACAAAGCCTTTGCAGGTATCAAAAAGGATGAATCTTCAGTCAAATGATTCATTCAAAAACACTGATTCAGGAACAAAACACCACTACTGTGCGCTGCCTGGAACGTGTAACAGTTGATTCTGCTTTGACTTCATTGATGAACTATTTTCAGTATGAATAAAAAGACTTTTGTTAACTAAAACTATAAAAAAATGTGTTTGGTAATTGAAATAAAGCTGAAATGAAATAAACTACAAATATTTCATGAAAAGCTTAAATGAGAAAAACAAACAAAAATGAGAAATGTTGCTTTGGCAACTAACTGAAATAAGTTGATGTATAAAAATGACTACTGAATTAAAACTAAACAGAAATATTACAAATAAAATAATAAACATGACATAAAAATAAAATTAAAACTGAACATATGAAAATAGATCTAATTCAAAACATCAATAAATACTGTAACTTTATATACATAATACTAAAATAACACTGGTAAGTTCCTCAATATTAACTTCTTGTTTATTAAACTTACTGGGCCGTGCTGATATTCAGAACAACCTAGTTCAGATTTTGAAAAAGGATGAGCTTCATTTGAAGCCATCATAAACTGCAGAAAAAATACATATTAAGTGAATGTGCTTATTATTTGTTGGAAGAATTGTTTATTCTCATTATTATTATTATATATAAACTTTTTTTTTTCAATTAGGTATCATATTGCTGTTGTTGATGTTTGTAAAAGTAACAAGCCACTCGAGGAATATTTGAGGCAAATAATGGTTTTACATAATATCTATTTTAGGGCTATTAATTAAACTGTAGATTAGGGATGTAACGATTTTTTTTTCTCACGATTTTTTAACAAACTGAGATTTAAGACAAATTATAAATGAAAAGGTGTCCTTTTATTATTTCTCAGAAAAAAATGCCCCACATTTCTTTGTGAAATTGAAATGTGTCACATAACAAAACCAAATTGAAATTTTAAAACAAATCCCAAATCAAATAAACAACAAAATACAAATAAAACCTCTTCACATAAACAAAGCCTTTGCCTGTGCTCTTTCCATTTAATATTAGAGGCGACCACAGCATTTTAATCACGGTCCAGAGATGCTGCATACATGCAGCATGAGCAGTTTTTGATTTAAATTAGATTGTATAATTTCGACATATGTAGCAAAAACAGAACAGTCTGACGTTAGCTTTGTGAAACTATAACGAAAACAGCAGACGGGCTGAATGAGAACACAGATTCACTCTCTGACAGCAGGTGATGCTTATGGAACAGCAGCGATACAGCGTTTCCTTGGTTACACAGAGGCAAGATGAAAAGAAAACACCATCTAAACTTTTCTAAAGACAGTCAGCAGTTCCCCTCAGAGATATGTTCATATAAACCCCCACCCCCTAACAATATCGTGATTCGTTTTACATCTCAACTGACTTAAATCGTCACATATTTTTATAGATTTTCAGTGGCTCGGGGTGCATCATTACATCCCTACTGTAGATAATAATTATATTAATATATAATCATAACTATAACTATTTTATTCTTTTGCTAATCTATTTTATTAACATACTTCGTTTTAAATGCATGAAAATATGCCTTTATATTTTGAGCATATATTTATTGTCTTTATATATCTTTTTATTTTACAAGTTTGGTTTAGCTAACTTACTTAACCAAGCAAATTAATGCTCAGAGTTACATTAGGACACTCACTCATCAATGAAGGCAATATCCTCATCCTCTAGTTTGTCATCCTCCATGTCACTAACTTTAGCTTCCTTGGCAACTGCAAGAGGGATGGGCTCGGTTGAGCTGCGGGGACTGTCGGCTCCTGCAGAAAAAACACCCAAAACACTCCAACATATAAACATTAACACTGAAATGACAGAGATTTCAAGAGGACAGAGATTATTTGAAAATATCAAGTCAAAGCAAAATGATTTTACCAACAGATCTATCATTAACCATTGATTTTCTTTTAATATCATTAATTCATTAATATTCATTTAACAGATTACAGAGGCATTCTCCACATTGATACTAACCCATGTTATCTCTCAGTGCACTGGCATCACTGTGGGAATCAAAGCTGTAATTTGGCACCAGCTTCAGACGCATCTTAGAGTACGTCTCTGCACTTGACAGTTTCCATTTCACCTCTGGCTGAACCCTGAAACACAAACACTTCCACTCAGTCCACCGCAATATAATCCCTGAATGTACAGCATCGATGTATACAACTGAACCTCACTTCACCACAGTGAGCTACAAAAGTCTGACTGCTTCTACTTGGGATTTTTATCATATATTTTATATTTTATCATATATTTTAGTGACCCTTTAGTGAAGATTTTAAGAGAAAAATCTTAATATTAAATGTTTTATTATTATTTTTTTTTAAATCCCCCGAAATCCCCATGTCTATATTTTTCCAGGTTTAAATGCAATTTTAAATCCCAGATTTCCAATGTAGTCTCAGGTTTTTAGCCATCACTTTAAAGCTTATTTATCTTAAAGGAATAGTTCGCCCAAAAATGAAAATTGGCTCTTAATTTGCTCACCCTCGGGCCATCCAAGGTGTAGGTGACTTTCTTTCTCAGAAGAACAGTAAAGAAGATTTTTAGCTTAAACCATGGTCATAAAATGCAAGTCAGCGGCTACCGTCACTTTGAGAGTCAAAATAGCAACACACAATTAATACCAGTGGCTCGTGACGATATAATGTTGTAAATAATGTTCACTTTCTTGCAGACCAATCATTTCTTTTCATAAGACCTCAATATATTGTCAGGAGCCATGGGCATTGGTTTTGTGTTGCTTGTGTTGCTTTTTTGACTCTCAAAATGCTGGTAGCCGTAAACGTGCATTTTATGAATCACCAAGAACCACGGTTTCAACTAAAAAGTAAACTACACCTTGAATAACATGAGGGTGAGTAAATTAACAGCAAATTTTCATTTTTGGGTGAACTATCCCT